CGAGCTTATTAACAGCTAGGAAATGTATAGTAAGGTTTTTATGTTGATTCAATTAAGTTTTAAAGTTTAGCCCGCTGGCCCGCCCAGCCCGCCCAGTTCACACTGCTAGCCCGCCACACTGTTAGCCCGCCACTTCACACTGCCAGGTAATGTATCATGAGGTTTAATTGTTGAATCAATAAAGTTTTTAGATTTAGCCCGCTGGCCCGCCAGCCCCCAGTTTACACTGCTAACCCGCTACACTGTCAGCCCGTCCAATTCACACTGCTAGGAAATGTATCATGAGGTTTTAATGTTGAATCAATAAAGTTTTAGATTTTATCCCGCTGGCCCGCCAGCCCGCGCAGTTCACATGCTAGCCCGCTACACTGTTAGCCCGTCAAGTTCACACTGCTAGCCCGCTACACTGTCAGCCCGTCCAATTCACACTGCTAGGAAATGTATCATGAGGTTTTAATGTTCAATCAATAAAGTTTTAGATTTTAGCCCGCTGGCCGCCAGCCGCCCAGTTCACACTGCTAGCCCGCTGCACTGTTAGCCCGCCCACTTCACACTGCCAGGTAATGTATCATAACGTTTTTATGTTCAATCAATAAAGTTTAAGATTTTAGCCCGCTGGCCGCCAGCCCGCCCAGTTTACACTGCTAGCCCGCTACACTGTCAGCCCGTCCAATTCACACTGCTAGGAAATGTATCATGAGGTTTTAATGTTGAATCAATAAAGTTTTAGATTTTATCCCGCTGGCCCGCCAGCCCGCCCAGTTCACACTGATAGCCGGCTACACTGTTAGCCCGCTCACTTCACACTGCCAGGTAATGTATCATAACGTTTTTTATGATCAATCAATAAAGTTTTTAGATTTTAGCCCGTTGGCCCGCCAGCCCGCCCAGTTCACACTGCTAGCCCGCTACACTGTCAGCCCGTCCAATTCACACTGCTAGGAAATGTATCATGAGGTTTTAATGTTCAATCAATAAAGTTTTAGATTTTAGCCCGCTGGCCCGCCAGCCCGCCAAGTTCACACTGCTAGCCCGCTACACTGCTAGCCCGCCCACTTCACACTGCCAGGTAATGTATCATAACGTTTCATGTTGAATCAATAAAGTTTTAGATTTTAGCCCGCTGGCCCGCCAGCCCGCCCAGTTCACACTGCTAGCCCGCTACACTGTTAGCCCGCCCACTTCACACTGCCAGGTAATGTATCATAACATTTTTATGTTCAATAAATAAAGTTTTAGATTTTAGCCGCTTGCCCGCCAGCCCGCCAGTTCACATCTGTTCGCCCGCTATACTGCTAGCCCGCCCAGTTCACACTGTTAGCCCGCTAGACTGCTTGCCCGCCTAGTTCACACTGTTAGCCCGCTAGACTGCTAGCCCGCTCAGTTCATACTGTTAGCCCGCTAGACTGCTAGCCCGTTAGCCCGCGTACTTCACGGACATTACTACATAGTATAATATATAGAAAAGGGGTTGAACTCGCCAAATATAAAGCTATATATCAAATTGCATCACTGAACATTGACTGTAACATAACTGTCCCAATTTAAACCGTTTTAGAACAACAAATCGATATTTCGGATGGAATATCGTATTTTTGATAGGTCGGACACAACCGTGAAACCTGTCCGAGCTTTATTTTCTACGTGTAAAAACGCAATTCCAAACCATGTCAATGTACCAACCCGCAATAAATCGATAAAGTTAAAATAAAAACAATCTTTAGTTATATATTAGTGCAAGTATGGCAAATTCTCATGACATAGTTAAAATTGAAATTGTGTTCTTCCCCCCAAAATAGATGCAAGGATGTCACGATTATATTCTTATGTGATTGTCATCTTAATGTTTGCCCTTCTGATAATGATTTTGCAAAATGTGGGTTATCAAACGTTACATATTTTTAAGTACGTCTGTTACAAACATTTCAAAATGACTGTGCCAAAAACAAATTTATTTGTAAAGAAAAAGACTATAATAGTGATTTTCTAAAAAGAGTATCACAATTTACAAAACATTTAAAACTGAGTCGTAAGCATTGTAAATTAATTATCTTACAGGCTTTTAAAATCGTTATATTGCATGAAGATATTTAAATTTCTAATATATATTTTTCAAAATTTGCCGTGTACAGTTACCCACTTAAGAACACCCTTGTCAGCCTATGCACATTGCAAGTCGATGCAATTTTTCTTTAGTATTCGAAAATAATGACTTACTTTTGTACTTGGTCCTTTGTTTAAGTTTTAGAAATATCAATACATTGTACATATAATCTATGTATTTAAGTTAAAAACTTGACAGTTTGAATAAATTATTTACAGAAATGATGATCACATTCGAAGTAGTGTCATAGAGATATTATACATGTCTTAGTCTGCATATTAAAAAACCCTTTCTATTTATTAATATAATTCATGTCAGTCTTAGAAAGAATTTAAGACAGAGTAAAGTAGATATAGATATACATTTTGCCGTATTTTACAGTAGAAAGTTAGTGATATACACAATTATCAAGATCAGCCAAATCTTGTTTCCCCTACAAAAGACCACCCTGGCTGATAAAACAATTTTCGTTTCATCTCCTGAAGACTGTGCACTGAACACAAACAGCACTTTTTAAAATGGTTTCTTAGCAGCACAAGCAAGTCAAAGTTTTCTTCAGGACTTTTATCAATATATATAATGTTTCAAGTATTTTACTCACAATAACTTACATTTTATGTTTATTATACGGCTATTTTCTCACGTATTTATATGAAATTAAAAACTGTATCAGAGGACTTCCACTTTTCGATCTCACTCGTTATATACACAGTTCATACACAAAATATTCATTTAAAACAATATCTTGTTTATATCTTATTTAGTATAATTGTTTTGACTTTTTGTTGAAGGAAAGAGTAATAATCATAAAAGTTTGAAACGGTCGCTTTAACAAAAGAACCACGTATATATCTTATCATTTCACCTGAGGTGATACTATATACACATGACATCAGGACAAAGATAATTCAGTTGTCATCCATCATGCCCCGCATTAGATGTAAGTATTTTTCTTTTCACATATTTTATTTTTAAATGGCTAATTTTATGATCGTACTTCTTTCTTACCTTCGCACAAATAATTCGTGTCAACTGTGATTAACTACAATACATTTTAAGTATGTCCAATGTGAAAGATACTTAAAGAAGGTTAATCTGATGTGGTATTTTTTATCTTTCCTTATACCATCATGTCGTGTCATGACAGAGTCAAGAAAAATTAGAAAATGTTTGAAAAATGAAATCCAGTGATGTGAAAGTACCAAAATGTATGTAGCATGTCGTCGACATTTAATTATTATTGTTCTTTTCCAACATGACGTCATATTTGTCCGACTTTACAAATAAGTTTACGGAATAAAAGTACAGAGGAACAACAATTTGTTTAACCATACATAGGCTACCAGATGACCATATACAATTCTGAAAAGAGATCTGTGTTTGTATTAAAAATGAGTTCATGTTAATTCTATCTACTTTTACAAGATCTTTTAGCGTTTAAAATTTTCAGAAATATAATTGCAAATTATTTTAAATTGCAGGGATAAAGTTAGTGGTTGCGATCTGTATCAGCACTTTGTCTAGCACAGGTAAAATATATCGTTTAAACAGGAATTTATCTGTACCATATCATTTGTTACAAGCCAATACAAATAAGTGTGTATGGGATATTGTGATTTAAAGCATCTTTTACTTCCAATCACTAGCTATGTCATGTATTGCAAGCTAATATTATTCAACTTGTTTTCATTTTTTGCGATCACGGGAAGTAAATACTATTCTTACTCATTTTATACACGTGTTAGCTATTATAGACAGGTTCCTGACGACTTACTCTATTAATGTCTGATTTAATGTTGTGAGTTGTTTCCAATCAAAAAGTTCTAAATTGTACTGCAAAACTTCAAATACATGTAAACTTTGTATGTGTATTTTATTCCGCAATTCTACTAATATGTATAAACATTTTTGCCGCATACGTTAGTTTGTTATTCATAAAACGTACAGAAAATGTAGTAGTGTGCTAAAATATATATTTTTATATTCTGAACATTACACTTCAATGCCAACCTACACATACAAATGTTTTTGCGAACGCAAGATTGTTTAACAAAGCTTATACAAAACAAAGAAAATTCAATTAACAATTGTATAAACTGTGAAGTTCTTATCAAAACATATCTAGCTTATATTACAAATAAGTAACATTTTTACCAGTTCTTATTTAATGTTTCACATATTTCAGATTGTTTGGAATGTTACAGTTGTACAAACATTGAAGATGTGAACAGTTGTAGAAACACAACACAATGCCAATTCGGCCAGGTTAAGTCTTTTTCATCTTTTAAGCAAAGGGCGTTGTAACGGTGCCAGGATTCTATTTTAGGGTCAGTTGTTGAGTCCAGAAGGCAAAAACATGTGACAACTTTATATTCTATTTTTGGGGCGTTTTAGCTTAGTTTGGTAATACTCAGGTCTGGGCGGGTTTACTTTGTTAATTTCTGCCGTTGTCTTTTTTAAAACTCGTACTTATAACTAGTTTTCCACTTTCTTACGGTGTCCCGTAAGGGCCATCACGACACACCTCACTTGAAACAGACAAATTTCCGATGGTGATAAACCAATAAAACAATACCATGATGGTGAATAATTCGAATTATGCTCTTATTCGATGCTCTCAAACGAGCATAAATGATTTATTATCCTCCAACATACACCTACATTCAAGCATGCAGCTTTAAAGAAAAACATAACATAAAACAAGGTTAGAGGGCATGTCGTTAAGCCGTCCCGTTTATTTGACAAAAGATTTACAGGAAACAAAAGAAACAACTCCATTGATCAATACTTGAAGAAAAACTGCAAGTGTACTTCTAAAATTTTCGTGCTCTGCTCTCCGATCCAACCAACCAAACCTAATGAAATTCGATTTCTAAGAAATACTATTTTTAATCAATCGCAGATAGAATTAATCAAATATAAAATAATTGGAAAAATCCAAAGTCAGAAATGCTGCGAGCGGGCTACCCAACCCTACTCCGTCTTGGGAGGGGGAGGTAGGAAGCTCCAAAGCTCTAGATCAGCGGCTGCTTCAATCGCCTATCTGACATATCCCCAATTTTGAGTCTAATAAAAAACCATTAATGTGATCTTATAAATAACTGCAGATGATCTTCTTTGAATGTTACGTCAGAACATTTCAAATTTCTTAATTCTGAAATGCGAAGAAATCCGGCAAAACCTTTTACAACAAAAGTTAATGTTCTTAATTTGTACAAATCTACTACGTCAGGCGGAAAGAATGTAAACATTTTTGTAATATCTTCAGATGTCAAAGCTTTTTTCTAACTACTGGTGAACCGCACAACTTTTTTGCAGCAGTTAAAACTGAATTAACCGTTTTTGACTCACATGGGTATTTTACGTCACTAAAATCATGAGCCATTTCAATGCAAAAAACTATGTTCAAGTTACTGCGTACGAGCTCTGTTTTTGAACTATCAATGAAACTAAAAATAAAGCAATACTTGAAAATCAAAGCGGGATATATTTTTAGCTATTTTCATCTGGTTTGCACCATGCAATCCATTTTCTGAAGTAAGACGAATATTGTTTCTCTGGTACTGTCAGATTACTTTGAGGCACTATCTCGGTAATTTATCTGCTAGATCTTTTAAATTGGATTTTCTTCAGATAAATGATGGAAGATCTTTCAATACGCCAAATTTGAAAAATCTGAAAAAAATGTAAATAATAACAAATAAGCATGCTGGTAAAACTTGAGTCCATTCGACCTATTTTTTTTTTTTTTTTTTTTTTTTTGGTAGCACCATTTTTTTTGTTTAGACATTTCTAACAACTTTAGTTATTAATTCATTTTTATTTTCTTTCTTTCTTTCATTCTTTCTTTTTCTTCTTTCTTTTCTTTTCTTGACAAAACCATATGAATTATCGTTATTCATTTCCACAACTTTCCATTACAATAATTCCTTTCCATTCCTTCATGCTCCTTTATGCTTTTCCTATACCCTCTTTTATTTCTTGCATTTTTTTTTATATATTATATAAACATGTTATATCACATGTATGTTATCGTGTATAACAGTCACGATTTTCTCTATCTTTTCAAAAACAGGTCAATGAATTCAAGTGAATTACAATACGCATGCTCGATAACACAAATACTTCTGTGTGTGTCATTTAACAAAAACGGAGAAAAACACGTGTGGAGTCTGTATTAAAAACATTCAAGTTACTAAAAATAGAAATAAAAAACCCGAGAAAGGCGGAGCAAACTATTTATAAAAACAAATTCAATTCTTATTTTGATCGGGCATCAAATTTAATAGCTAAAACAGACCCGTTGAAACGGCCAGATCCAAACAAAGATTTTTTATTATTGCCGGGTATAATGATTTCTGAATTGTTAAACTCTAAGGCGTCTGAAACATAATCTCTCCAAGTGCAAATTTCGTCTGCAAAAACAAGAGGCCAGAAAGCAGCCGAAGGCCATTTCGGCACAATCAAAGTACCTGAAGCCTGACAGTCAATTAAATGCAAAATACATTTGCATGCTAAACACACGGGTGGAACTAACCAATTATTTTCTCCTAGCCAATTTTGAGACAACGCGTCAATAGCCTCGCTTTCTGGATTCCAAAACTTAGAATTAAAACAAATTATTTTTCTGTTATCGACATTAGCAAAACGGTCAATAGTAAATGGCCCCCATAATGAATTTATAAAATGAAAGAAATCATCGGACACGCGCCAATCGTCTTCATCAATTAGACGAGAAAATAAATCGGCAATTTCATTTTTTGAGCGAGGTACCCAAAGTATGGACAAATCTATACTTTTCTCTTTGCAAAATGAAAAATTTGATAAAGCTAAGGAATGCAAGTCGGGTTTTGAACTTCCGGCGTTGACGATAACTTCACAATGTTTGTTATCTGTGAACCACTGTTCGCGCTTATCACTCAGGAAATTTTGACAAAAGCCCTTATACCCCATTCTATACATTTTAATTCTCTCCCAAGTAGAACTTTTGTGTTTTTTCGGAATCTGACCATGTCTTATGTGCAATACTTTCAGCAATATGCGGTGAAAAAGCCGCACATGCAACGTCACTGGCATCCGAATACACAGAAATAGACCCTTGTATCGTACGAACAGGAAACAGCTGCTTTATGTTAATATTATCAATATTGTCAGACCAAAAAACATAACTCTGCCCATTCTGGACTTTCGGGTTCGATATTTCGGAAAAGAATCCCAATAGCTGCTGCTCATTACCTTTGCATATAAAGACCTAGTCATTAAGCGACCAAGCTGTCGAATGACAAAATGCATAGAAGCTATCATACCCGTTATTTTTGCTAGATGTCGCGCAGTGACCCTCTTTTAAACTTAGCTTCAGAAATTGCGCTCTTCAAATTATCAACTCTTTCTTGTGTTATTTTCAAAAACACCTGCTTTAAGGTCAAATAATGACCTAACCAGGTCATCGTCTTTTTTGAGACTTTTCATTGTTAGTTAAAAACCGGAAGCGTCAAAGAAGAAGTCCTTACCAAATCGGAATCAGCATAAGTCTGATGAAAGGATGAATTAACCGACCAACCGTCGTCTAAATATACAATAATTTTATGCCTTGAACACGCCAGTATTTTACAAGCTCTCTCAAAACTTTAGTAAAAATAAAACCCGAGGAACTCAACCCAAACGGAAGAACGGTAGATACATAATATTTTATATTATTGCCTTGATTAAGCGAAAAACCCAAGAATGTTTGATGTTCTGGAGCGATATCTATGTGATGATAACCCGATGTAAGATCAAATTTAAACATGTGAGTACCCTTTTTGACGTATTCTAAAGCTAATTTTACATCCTCAAAACGCATTTTTTCTTTCCAAATGTACTGATTAATATGCCTTAAATCTAAAATTAATCTTTTCTTGCCAGAACGTTTCACAGAAACTGTGAGAGGATTCACTACTAAGGGATTAAAAGGCACCTCTAAAACTCTCCCAGATATCAATAGTTCCGAAACGGCGTCTAAAACAAAGGGCATGTTTTCTAAGGCCAACTGATTGTTTTTCAAGCATACTGAAACTGGGGTGTGAATAAAAGGAATAAAGAAACCATCTCTGATAACGCTTTTTATATAAGTGCTTGCGCCTATCTTATCCCAAAAATTTATTTTTTGTTTTAATCTGCCTTTTACTGAAATTTTTGCTCAAAAAATACCTTTTGTTCGCTATAAGAATGAAAAAATAAATTATACTCAACTTTCAAGTCTATCATTTGATCCTTGGAAACGTCGACTACACTGTTTCTTAGGTTCCGACTCTGAGTAGACTGCACCTCCGTTGGGCTTCCGGTTAAAGATGTTGTGAGGACAGGTAGATCGGTAGTGCCCGAACTTGCCACATGCAAAACATTGGTCTGTTGGTCTTGGACCGTAGAAAGGTTGCTGGCGCCACTGGTTGTTGTATGTGAAGGGACGAAAATTGCTAATCCCTGGATTATGAGATGCCATAGCAAATCTGTCGCCGGCAGACCTAGAAAAATTGTTAACGTTATAAGGAGAATAACGTTGAGCAGAGTTGAACTTGGTAAATGACTTTCTCCTTTCATCCCGTTCTTTTAAAATCGCCAAAGCCGACTTCTCTGCGTTTTTGATTTTCCTGCTATCCTCGTCGTCGCTTGCCAAATCGTCTTGTTCGTATTCTTTGACAACGAGCCAGCCTGCCGGAGATTTGTCCGCTAATTTGATCAGTTTGACACGGTGATTAATTTTCTTCTGAATTTTTGCACAAATGTCACTTATTTCACAGTTCTCTAAAGGATTTGTAAGACATTCCAAGTTCCGAACAAGAGAAAGCAAATCACATTTATAGTCAAGCTTTTGACTTGAGAGTCGTAGATTTCACGGCTGGCGGAATAGGAGCGTTGACAAAATCTCTCTTTATTTCGGAAAATTTCTCATCAAAGTACGCCTTTAGTTCGTCAAAATCCCTGGACATGATTTCGAGCGCAGAAAAACCAAATTTCACAAATGGACGACGTGAATGTAATGCCTCGAATGACTATATTTTATCAACTTACACGTAAAATCGTGCATAATTACCGCCAAAACTATAACCATTAAAAACACGAGGAATTACCATATATGGAAAGACACGGTGTATGCACCGTAAATAAATACATATAACGAAACCGAGATGATGAAACTTGATACAATTTCGTGTTTTCATCATTGTTCCTTAAACCTTGAAGCAGCGTGGTTCCATTGTTTCTTTATTTCTTTATTGTGCTTTCGACTTTTTACCATCGTATTTTCGATTTTACACCATTGTGATTTCGCTCTTTTAACTTTTCACTACCGCACCTTCGACTTTTCACCATCGAAAACTTACTTTACTGTATGGCATGCGAAAACATCATGACAATGAATAACGATGTAAAATTAGAATATATATACCAAGGATACAATATTATAACAAAGAAATAATAATGATCATGATTTAAGCATAATGTTTATACATTGCGCATTGTCATTCAGTGCGCATGCTTAACAGGAGGGCGGAACTGTGATTGTGAAAACTCAAAATATCGGTGATGAAAGGTCGCAACCACAAGGATGAAATGTCGAAAAGACGATGATGAAAGTTCGAAAAATGAAATCATCGTGGTTTCGTTATATTTTCGATTTTTCACCTCTAACTCTCGACTTGTCAACTTCGTGCCTTCGACTTTTCACCATCGCAGTTTCGTTGTTCCGACTGTTCTCCGCCGTACTTTTTTAATACCAAAAAAATGATATGGTATGGGTATTTAAACCATTTATATGTTAAAATACAATGGTTTCTACTGCTTTCGTGTATAGTCATGTTCAATAAAATTATGTTATGTTCTGAAAAATCTTCGCCTGACACCTAGTTTCTGAGAAAGGTATAAAGATCGCAGACATGACTTATGATCAGAGTTATAAATTGATTAATTGCAGTCTGAGAAATGTTTATTTTATGTCACGTAAGAACGCCTTACTGAACTTAACTTTGAATGTTATAACTATTGTTTTACTTATTTATGACTTATGAGATCATTGTCACGTTTATTTCTTTAATTATCTTGTCTGTCATCAAATTTTTACGTTTGAATTATCTCTATTGTTTTATATGTATTAGGCATGTTTCCTCGAACTTAAACATGTAGCACAAACAGCAGTGTACACGCTCGGGTGTAGGGACAATCAGGTATGTAGATCACACAAATGTAAACTATGTTTTGATTTTACCGGGTAGTTTTGGTATCAGCGATATATAATAAATAATAAATAAATAAATGTAAAATAATTGAATGTCAGCAACGAAATGGACTTTTTTCTAAAACTCATAATGATATTTTGGTGTTTTTTTAAGATATCACTCATTTGAATTGTATTAAGTTGTGCCTGGTGGTATAACATGCATTGTATTTTCAATTATGACCACCATAAACGCTGACTTGTAATGTAACGTGTCAGATTTGAATCTTTATCCTGAAAGGTTAAGATAAGATGAGGCAAATAATATGAAGGCTCATCTCAGACAAAATGTTGCATGCATCTTATTTTCCATTATGTACGAGCACGCCCTTCTGCATTATGTAATTAATGCTGACAAATGTTTGAGATGTTGCTTAAATATATTTGTCTTATAACAATATCAGCCAATGTTGACCACACAACTTTTTACCGTGTATAATGCGCATGTGCAGAAAAGCAAACAAACAAAACAATATTGCTTTGTAAGTAGTGGAAGTTCGTCTATGTAAGATGTTGCTACTGATATCTTCTAAACAATAGAATACGAAACATAAAGTTAGCCTTGTATAGTGAAGCTTATTGTTGCAGTACTGCGTGAACCCAGCAGTAGGAGGAAGTGCTGGCCTTGTTGGACGGGACATACATGTACGACAAATACATGATTGCTTTGAATGCTGTAATACCGAAAATTGTAACAAGCATCTTTGTGAACACCCAAAACGTAAGAAGTTTTGTATTTTATCATTTCAATATGAAAGTAATTGTTGGTACGCTGATGTAAAACATGTAACTCAACTACCTTTAATATTCTCCTAATTTTTTCATGCGTTTATTTGTATGTTCATGAAGTTAGACAGACAGCCGGAGCAGCTGGAACAGCCGGGACAAATTTTCGTCTTGTCCGGCTGTTCTTGTTACTGAATCGGCTAGGTTGATATAGGTGTGTTCGTCCGGAAAACTCTGGTATTTGTCCGATGTTGAGCCAAAAAACGTACTTTTAGTGGTCATTTCAACTCATATCTTACCAATTCCAGCTGCCCCCGTGAACCCCAGTCTCAATTCCACAGAACCTCATATGGTGTGATGGTCCGTGTGTCCTCTGGCAACACACCGGTGGACACATACATTAAATGGCCCATACTTAATAACGATGAATAAAAAAGGATACTGTTTGTAGATAGCAGGCAATTTTCTAGAAAAAAAATTATTTTTCCTTGTTTAAACCGCTTAGCTATTCGAAGTAAATTCTTTTCCAGTATAATATTAGATAGTTTATTTTAATTGTTAGCTCAACCCTTTAAAAAAATACAGTTATGTCAGCGTTGCCGCCCGCAAACTTGTACCTTGATCTAACTTTTTTGATTTCTTGGTGTATTGCCTTCATACTTGCCATAACAACCCTTGGGTAGACCAGACTAATCTTGACATTGGCTCGTGATTGACACTGACCTTGAAATTTTCATATATTTTTGCTATAACTTGGTTATAAATTTGCCATGACTGTCAATGCCAAATTAATGAAATTCTTTTGTTTTCTTTTTTGTAACTTGCTATAACTTTGTTATTTATAAATAGATTAACTTCATATTAAGAAATACCATATTTTACGTCAGGACCTTCATGTACATTAACTCATAGTGACCTTGAATTATGTATGTTTTTGACCTTGAAGGTCATTTTTTTTATCCCTCTGATAATCGCTATAATTTGTTGTAACTTTGTAATTTATCAATGGATTATTTTCATATTTGAATATTTGGACAAAAAAGGGTTCGGAAGAATTACGACTCCTACTCATAGAAACAATCGGACCCTTTAATGTGACATTTGAACTTCTCGAAATTTCTGGTTCATCTTTAATAATTCGCGAATTCATGATTACAACTTCTCGAATACACTATTTAAAAATCACGAATTCACAATTTCAACTATATGATGACTTCAACATTATGAATTCACGATTTCGACTTCACGATTTCAAGATTTCAACTCCACAATTTCATCTTAGTTGATTACGATTTCAACTTCGTGATTTCTCGATTTCAACTTCCTTAAATTAAAATCTTAATTCGTGTAGACGAAATCGTGAATTCGTGCAGTTGAAACAACGAATTTTTGTTGAAATCGTGAATTCTTGATTTCAGTATGTTAAATGTATGTATTCGTGAAGTTTGAAATTTTGAAATTCATGAAGTTTAAAGTTTGATTTGAAATAATTGAAATTGTGAATTTGGGAAGTTGAAATCGTGAAGTCATGAAGTTCAAATTGTGAATTCGTGGGAAAAATCGTGTAAAGTTGAAGTAGTGAATTCGTGATTTCCGTATGTTAAAAACAGAAAGTTTATGAAATCGTGAAATTGAAAAAGTGAAGTCGGGATGTCCGTTTTTAAAAACGTGAATTCACGGAGTTAATCACGAAAATGTCTTCGGGAATTCATCAAGTTTAAATGTCCCAACCGGTCCCAACCGGTCCCCGTGTCTAAGCATGCACTTTTATGAGTCTGTAGAATTGGAATCACAGGAGGACGCTGAATATGGCGAGATTTGGGTAGAGATGACACTTTTTTTCGGCTTATCGTCCACAGAAAACCAGAATAATCCAAAAAGGGCTATTAGGATTCAGCCGGAAATGGCGAGTAAGAAGTGACCATTTACAGTTTGATTTTCAGCTTAACGTCGATAAAATATCAAAGCTTTCCCAACGGACACATCTATACCAGCGGAGCAGATATGAGCTGAAGGGACCATTTATAGTACGATTTTTGGCTCAACGTCGGGAAAAATACCAGAGTATTCCCGACGAACACAACTATATCAGCGGGAACACGGTCAGACCCTCTTTCCATCCTATCATATCGTGTTTTGCAGAATTGAGACTGGGACTCACGGAGGCCAGCCGGCTTTTGCGAGATATGACATGAAATGACCATTTATAGTACGATTTCGGCTCACCGTTGGCAAAATACAATAGTTTTCCCGACGGATATACCTATATCAGCGGACACACGGACACTACACATATATTCTTAAATCTGTTGTCGAAAATTATTTTCATCTTTAAAAGCCTTGATTTCGGTTATTCTGGCTAGCCGGAATTGTCAGAGAACGGGGTGATAAGTAATTTGAAACTACATTATTGAATTAACCAATGGTCCCTTGCACAGGTTTTACTGTATCATCTCTGGCTGGTCTGATCAACCTGAGCCAGATTCGGCTATCTAGAGTTGCCGTAACAGCCGGACTAGAAGAAAGTTCTTCGGCTGCTCCGGCTGCTTGGCTGACTTCACGTGTTTTAGTGATTTTTAACCACATATAATTACAAAAGTGTTTCAGGTCTTTATGTGTTTTTGTACATTGTCAAGTATGTTCAAAATAATATGATATACAAAAGTGATATTTTTTATATAAACATCTTTTATTAAAAACAATATTTATTCTTCAGCATCCGCTTGTATCGACGACCCAAAAGCAGATTGTCCGTGGTTAAACACTGTATTTAATATTTGCAATGACACTCATCACGCTAAAACCGAATGTCCAAAGTTCTGTGGCTTGTGCACTCTAGGTAAGTGAGCAAATTAATTCTCAATGTTTTACATCTATTATGTTATTGTTGAGTGCAATAATGTTTTTGTTTGAGGGATGATTCAGAATTATGTAGAATTTGTTCATAATTCTAATAAATTTAATGTTTTCTTCATTAAATTTATACTTTAACGTTAACAAAGCTTGATCTTTAATCTATTTAACTGCAAAATATAATTGATTTAATGGCGTCCAGGATCATCTCAGGCCGCATTAAATACTAGTCATCTTAGAAACACTATAGCGTCGCAGCTAAAAACGTGACGTACGTTAAAAGTTTATTAAACACCAAAGTGGCTGGTACAAAAATGGATATTGTCTGAACTTTGATGGAGCTTGGTGTTAATCCCGAAAAATCCCATGCTAAAAGTTCACGTCATTTGAACATTGCATTATTGTGAAATGAGATTCAATGGTTTGTTGTTGCAACGTTTATTGATTCGAAAACGTCGTCATTAAGGTGTCCGGAAAACGGCACTTTCACAAGCTTATGTCAACAGTTCGTCTCCTTCAGACACATCTAATATCACAAAAGAAAACTGACACAAGTATCGTGTTAGTCAAATAAAAGTTTTCGAGTGGCAAAGACGTTTTGTAGCACAATTGGACAGACCTTAAAGATAATACATACCGTTGCGCATTATGTTTATGTACCCCGTCGCGATGGTCCTTGAAAAAGACAAAATTTAATGTGCTGTCATGTGCGGCCTTGCAGAAATATTAATGCTTTCTTTTAGAAAATTCCAAATGATGAATAACAGAATCATTATATTTAAAGGAACTCCACTGAGGTTCAAAAACGTCAAAACAATTAAATTTGAATTTCTTATATACATCAGATGGGACACTTAAAACAGAAAAATGCAAACGATCATTAAGAAATTTAGTCAGAAATAAATTGAAAGTCGTATTTTTATGTTATTTTAGCCCGATTTGAGTGAAACGCGTTGCAACGCTATTCAAATTTTGGTCATTTTTTATAATTAGAATAATTATTCCGAAAAAAAAAACGGAGTGAGCGAATGATCTGAAATTTTGTACAAAAGTTTTTGGTCTAGACTACCTCAAATGGAACATGAATCTCGAAAAAAAAATTCGCCCCCGTCATGTCAAAAAACCTTAGTGGAGTCCCTATTGGATTTGTTCCAAGTATTCACTTTATTTATCCAAAATGAGTGAAATTTTGCTAAATTCAAGTCGACGAATTCATTTGCTTTCTGATCTAGGAATAATGAGCTACGATAAAAGAAGACTACAATCAGAGCTGCATTACTGGTAGTGGTACTAGTTTTGCAGTACATACTGCAGTGATTTTGCAAGTACTGGTACTGATACTGAATTACTCTTACAAAATTTTGCCTCTATTGGTACTGGTACTGTATTACTGTCTTAAAAAGTGGTACTGATACTGCATTACCAGGCAGTACTTTTGATAAAAATGTCATCAGTTTTTCTCTTTGTGTTTACTATTAAAGAAAGAGCTAATTAATTGCTTCTATTCTAATCCTATTTCAAGTCATATTGTTAGCACCATTAAAAGTTGTTATTTACTTTGGTATAAATTGAACAGAGGTGTGAAGGTGTGAAAGGCAACAAAAGACTCAATTCAATTCAATTCTTTATTCAGCATATGAACATTATAATGTTCGCCCGCCATTTACCCTGTGACGGGGGTTAAAATATTTAAAGGAAGAGTTTTGGTAATATATAAACATACAAAATTTCAACCCACTTTTAACACTATGTAAATTAAGTAGTTACCAATATTTGTAAAACACCGACCCCAGTGGGCCCAGTAAAGGGATATTAAGCCTGTAAAATATGCAAAAAATTTGGATTTTCTTTTAAAACCCTTATTTTTTAAAATTACCCATTTCACCCAAACCTACAAAAAGCCGGTTGTATTCAAATACGGGTTTTAAAATTATTAGTTAAAGATGCTATTTCAACAAATTACTGAAATAGAAATAAAAAAAATAAAAAAAAAAAAAAGATCTTTTTACTTAATGGGCTAAAAAAAAAGGAGAAAATCGGTTATTTTTTGCACCCATTTTTATAGGAGAAAACCCCCCTTTATACTTTTGTGCTTAACATTTAAAAATTGTAGCAACAATTGTATGTATGCAACAAACATTACTGCAGCATTATTTTATGATTACATCAAACTATGTTTCTTACATCAATAACAATACTACTAATCAATAAGACTAGTACGTTTATTACCAGCCAGAAAAACATATTTAGCAAGTTTACATAACACACCAGATTGACTGCAAGTTAACAGTGCTTGAAATTTCTGAATAGTTGGCCAATGGCAATAATATTTTGGGAGACATTGATTTCTTATAGTACGATATTGTGGACAGACAAGTACAAAATGATACTCGTCTTCTATGACATTCATGTTACAAAATATACATTTCCTTTCCATCCTACTAATATTTTGATAACGACCCTCTTCTATTGCAAGTTTATGAGCAGAGCACCGCAGTCTAGTTAATGCTATTCTATGCTTATTCACCTTAACACATAACAAATATTTTTCAATATCAAAACATCTTTTTATAACTTTATATGTAGTAAGTTTAGACATAGTGTCTAAAGTACCAAAAAAAATCTGACAAAATTGACTATATAGACATTCTATTACCTTTCTTAATTGTAGGTCAGTAACAGATACATTATTCCATAAATAACTGAAACCCAAATCATCTAGCAGTGATTTAACCCTTAGGGCCCATGAATCTTTCACCAGGTTAAGCTTATCATGCATAAAACATTTATGAATTAATGTATCCGGAGACCTAACAATCTTACACCAATACTTAAGAACTCTTTCTTTTCTTAAGATATCAAGAGGCACTTTACCAAGCTCACCATAGACAGTTGCATTCGCTGTCTGGTATTTAACATTTAAAATTGATTTCAAAAACTTAATATAAACCTTTTCCATATCTGGTGCTTTGTGGAACCCCCAGATCTCACATCCATAATTTAATATTGGCAGTATCATTGAGTCAAATAACTTGTTTTTCACTGATACCAAGAGGTACAGCTTCAAATAAAGAATTTAATGTAAACAAAGCTTTTAAAGCCTATTCTGACAGAGCTTTTTGAGCACCAAAAATTTACCATTTGCAAACAATGTTACATCTAGATAACAAAATTTACTAACAACATCTAAACGTGTGTTATCATAATATACATCAATATGTTCTTGCCTATTACCTAGTTTACAGATCATTACAAATGATTTACTTCTGTTTACAGATATATTCTATTTCATACAGTAAGCATGTAATTTGTTCATTAAAGTTTGTAAACCAACTACAGAGTAGGAAAATAAAACTGTATCATCAGCAAAAAATAACATGAAAACTTGCAAATCGTTTAAGGATATTAAATCAGCATTTATATCAAAAACACTCTTTTCCATATCATTTATAAACAATATGAACAATAGGGGAGATAATGTCTCACCCTGCTTAACTCCATTGTAACTATCAAAATATTCAGTCAATTTACCATTGGAACGGACACATATCTTGATTCTGTATTTATCTATTGTAACATTATTATACATACTTTTTAACATATTTATAAACTTAGATGATAATTCATAACTTAACTGTTTATACCAGATACCATTTCTATAAACAAGGTCAAAAGCCTTTTTAAAATCGACAAATGCACAGTACATTTTCTTTCTTTCGTGCTGAGTAATCCTATTAATTAAAGACTGTAAAACAAAAATGCAATCAATAGTACTTCGTTTTTGTCGAAAACCAAATTGAAAGTCAGTTAAAATGTGATTATTCTCAACAAACAGACGTGCCCGATTTTCAAGTAATTGAGAAAATATTTTAGAAAAGATACTAGTTAACATTATACCTCTATAGTTATCTACATTGTCGGTATCCCCCTTTTTATGGACATGGACTAATATACCTTTTGTCCAAGATTCAGGGTAAATTCCCTTATTGTATATGTAGTTAAACAATTTACACAAAATAGGAGATAAGATATGTTTTAAGTCAATAACAATTTCTGGTATTAATAAGTCTTCACCAGCACTTTTCTGCCTTTTTAATTTTTCAATAGCTTTATTCACCTCGTCAATTGTAAAATCACAATCTAGAAAATCAACATAACAATTTACATTCTGATTTAGAATTTCTTCAATAGCCTGATCATTATATACATCAGTATCAGAAAATAATCCTTTAAAATGATCATAAAAATCCTCCGCAGTTATATTAGTGGTATTTTTACATTTCTTTCTAAATTTACGAACAAGATCCCAAAACATTTTTGGATTACTTTTTGATGCTGAATGCAACTCCTCTTTCTGTTTACTTACATACAATTGTTTAGCTCGACACTTAATTTTTCTATAAAAACGTCGCTTACCAATAACTACACAATAATTTCCATGTGTCCTTGACAAACGGTATTGTTTGTTAGCATAATTTAAGTCAAGCCTGGCCTGCAGACAGTTATCATTAAACCATGGGTTAGACTTTTTTCTGTTACCCCCTACACTACCAACTGCATATTTTCTCACACCAAAAATCGAATATGCATTATTGTACAGTATGTTCCCAAAATCTTTTATACCTTCATCAATTGTAATATTAGAAGAACAAATGCTTGAAACAATATCATTTAACTTTGAAGTATCAGCTAATATTGCTTCGTTATATATGTTTACCTTGTTAACATCCCACACAAGTTTACACAACAATTATCAGTACTAACATTATTACTCACAAAACTGGCCTTAAAATTCACTTGAATAGGTACATGTGTAGAGAATGAGTAGATATCATGAACAACAAAATTACTGACAGAGGAAAGTAAGTGATATGATAAAATTGCATAATCTATTACACTTTTTCCTTTATTAGACATAAAAGTGAAGCGTCCTACATTCTCATCATCACCTAATCGGCCATTAACAATTCTAAGGTCACTACTACA